ATTTCCGTTTATTGTTATGAATTTTAGATATTGTCAGTTTTATTTATAAGTGGCTTCATTTTTCCAGTAAAATCAGTATTTGAAAAACTGATATTTCAGTAATATTCCCAGAGAAATTTTTGTATTTAATTGTAATATTTCCAGCATAAAGTTTAGATATTGTAAGTCTTATGCGCAAGTGTTACGCGCAAGTGTTCTATGCAAGTGTTATGTGCAAACATTATGTGCAAGTGTTATATACAAGTGACTGCTATAAATTGCTTCATGAGAATTTATGTTAATACTTTCAAGGATATTTTGAAAATACGATATTCTTGTTTTCTAATATTTACTACATTGATATATGGCATGTAATTGACACAATAATGTCTTTCGAATTTATGTGCATGGTAATAAAATATGTGAATGATAGCATGCTTCTGATAAGATATGTGTGTATGGTAACATGCTTCTGATAAGAAGTGTGTGCATGGCAACATGCTACTGATGAGATGTGTGCATGGTAATATGCTACTGATAAGATATGTGTGCATGGTAACATGCTACTAATGAGATATGTGTGCATGGTACCATGTTTTTTATAAGATATGTGTGCATGGTAACATGGTTCTGATAAGATATGTGTACATGGCAACATGTTTTCTATAAGATATGAGCGCAAAGAGACATGCCTCTGTTGTGATCTGATAAGATATTTGTGCCAGCAGCTGTGAATTTTTTCTAACTCTCTATGATAGGATAAGAGTTAGGAGTGTGTGTGTTTGGGTGGTCGTTCCCCCAAAATCTGTGTGAGGCAGTGCTCATTGGGACCCCTTTAATAGTGTAACACTCTCTCGCCAGAAGGGCCCATGAGAAGGTCATATCTTGCAAGGTCAGTGCCTATCAAAAGCCCCAAAACGTGTTGCAGTTATGTGTGTGTGTGAGGAACTATGCAACGGATTTACCTGTTGGTGGTGCTTCTCCCTGCGGGATGGTAGAAGTTCTATCCTTGGACCCCAGGTTAGTACTTCTACTGTAGGATTTTTGTTGTTGTGAATGCTTGTTCGATTATATCTGATACTTAATGTTGATCTTGATATGAATCATATGCATATGGTTTATGTATCATGCTTATTTGCTTTGTCTAACAAGGAAGACAGGATACGTGTAAGATTAGAAATGAATCTGTCTAATAGCATGTATTAGAATGCATAAAATCAATACGTCGAAATTCTACTTAATATACATTCTTTTAGAAAATATTTATACTTTCTAACCATAATTTGTAAGGATAATGATGGTCACTTACTATGTAGTCGAACTCATCAAGCTATTGTGAATTTTTTTCAGAATAATCGTAGCCGTATTGTTCGTGCGTGCAGCAAGAGTGGTTTGGAAGAAGTTTTAAGAGTGGTTTGGAAGAAGTTTGTAATCAAATTCGCCTTTGTAGCTTTTTTTCTATCAAAGTTGTGTATATATATAAACTCTCATGTTATTATAAGTTCTGAAATAGACTTTGTACAAGTCTGCAAGCTTGTGAATGGAAAAAAAGTTTTGGAGCAACATAGTAAAAATTTAGAATTTGTTTTGTTCCTTAAGAATAAACTGTCACATATTAGGAATTTTAATATTAAAAACTTGGGGTGTGACATATATCATATTATATTAATGTTTTTTTTTTTAGAGAGAAGGTCAACAATCATATTATATTAATGTTAAAATATTGTCTATTAATATTCTAATATTTAAATCAATATCAATATTAATATTATGATATTATATTATTGTTGTTGTTGTTATTATTATTATTATTATTATTACTATTATTATTATTATTATTATTATTATTATTATTATTACTAGGTTCGTAATTATTATTGTTATCATTAGTATTTGAAATATTCATTATTAAAATAATCAAATTTACTTAGATAAAATATTTTTTATAAATAATAATATCATGAGGGGAATATATCTCATTGGTCATATGTTACTCATAATTTAATAGTTTATTTAAGAATTATGCATTTAATAAAGATAGCCTGACATACATTTGAATATGTTTAATTTTACTTTCATATAACCTTATCTCCTAAAATCTCTCAAAGTACATAGAATTGCTCTATCTTATCCTAAAATATCTCTCTATCCGAAAAAGATAGAATTTGTTTTTCATCCTCTATCATGCCCTAAACTTCTCTATTTCAAAATTACATGCCCTACTACCCTCTAGAGATAGGTTCCTCCCTTGATTCTTGAGACATGTGTCCACCCCTTAACTGTGACTGAATTATGTAGTATAGATATTGGTCCATAAAATTCCAAGCATGTTCTGCAATAGATGCACGAGTGCAAGGAAGCATGGCAGTATTAGAGTTGTGTAGACAGAAAAGAAGGCGCGTATATTATACTTATGTGACTGTCTCGGAAAGGCTTTCTCTGCTTTCTCTTCAGGCATTCGAATGGTTGAAAGTGACTGAGATACATGTGACACACTTTGGACTGACAAAAGAACAATAGTGTTCCAAAATTTTCATTGTATATTCAAAGAGGAAAGCACTTTTCTTCAAGCCTATTGGAACACCTGTGTATATAACTCAACGACATCATACTAGAATTCAACAAAAAATATCCATAAGGTTAGATAGGTTAAAGTGACAGCTAATTTAGCTGGTTTTCCTTCAATAATAAGAAAATTAAAAATAAAATTCTCAGAATGGTTTAAACCATTGAAGTGTATGAAGCGCAGATCATGATCAAAATTGGAACTTAATCCAACAAGGCGAAACATGGACAGAAATAGGATGGAACATGCACAAAAAGGAACAAGGATACAAAAGGCAATATGAGAAAGATAATAGCACAAAATCATGGACGAGACCAATTGATAAGATAACAAATGAATCTTAATTGGTCTCTCAAACCATAAGCAACCTGAAACTCTAAAAACCATAAACAGATTTCATGTTCCTTTCCTTCTTCTTTTTTTCTGTGAGAAAGTACAGTTCTCATCAATTATAGTGTAGCATATATGTGGACAACGACATAATATGGAATCCTTTGTTTAAACTGCTTGATCTCCTTCGCACATGCCTTAAACTTTCAGCCAAATTCTCTTCCTTTCAATTCTCCCTACGTGCTAATATCAATAGTAGACAAGACTATTTGAGCATTTTTTGGTGCTTCTTGAGATATCTTATAGATGAAGGAATTCATAACTCGTAGTCATATCAGTTAGTTAGGATAAGCCTATGACGCATCACGATTCACTGCCCACATGTTAACCAAATCAATGGTTAATGTTTGCCTGTAACTGTAATAGAAGCTTTAGCATTGTTGTGGCTGATCTAGTATAAAATTTGGTTAATAGTGGGGGAAAGCATAATACTTACTAAAGCCAGTAACATATAATATGGTGAAAGATGGATCAGCATCATAGTAAGAAAACTCAGAGTTTTACTCGAGCCAACGAACTCCCAAGTCAGGGTCACAGGTGGCCCGACCCAGTTTACTCAATCAGTAGTGAAAGAACAAGTTTTTAGCCAAAAAAAAAAAAGGCAAGATCGCAAGATCATTAGTCAATACAGACAAAAAGAAAACTCAATAAAAAATGTAGAAATAAAAAAGTGTTCCATAATCAATTCAAACAAAAAGTGTTCCGTAATGTCCATTCATTACACTATTTTAGATATATTATGCCTACCACCTCCGGAGGATATTTCCCCAAAACAAAATTAGGTTTTTCTCAAAATTTTGCCAAGAAGGATAGTGTGCTCGTATATATCATGAATCTTCTTTATAGAAAAACTGTTTTTAGCTCAAGCAAATCTGAGAGTGTCGGTTGAAGTTGAAGCACGGGTTTCGTTTTGGCTCTTTTTATTTTCTGATAGCTAATTTGCCCTGGGTTTTCCTCAGAAAATAATACTACAGGCTCAATCGAGTCATATGACTCACTCAAGTCTTCTTGGATTTGGTACACTCGATATAGCCTGCAAAGTCTCTATTAAAGGACCTGAAGAAATCCCCAAACCACATTCAACACAAAACCTTTTATCAAATAGAACAATATAGATATCAAAATCCTGGTTGTACTTAATTAGCAGAGAGCATTATCTCCCTAAACCACCACCCAATACAGCTAAATGCCTAAATCCACCACATGAGGACACTCACATGCATGTCTAATATTTGAGCAGGCATCTAATTCATGCATCCATGCACCTACAGATTACACGTAGCAAGTTTGGAAGTGCATGCATGAATATCTTGTGTTTGCCTCGAAAATATCAGACCCCAATTTGTGCTTATGTGTAGTGAGATCATGCATGCATGTTCCATTTGTAACAGTGCATAAAAAGAATAACCCACGCACATTCTCTAATGTAGGGAACATCGTTTGCTTAGGTATGTTCATAACATGCACTGATGCACATGTCCCATTTGAATGGCTAAAATATTAGAATTAAACCTATTGATAATCCATTTCAACTGCACATATTGGTTGAAAAAAGGATCGTTATTATTCTGTTATAAGTATGTAATAAACATTATGAACTAACATCCTTACATTTACCAGTTTACATAGCATGTAAAACAATATTCTAGCCCAAAAATAAATAAATAAAGTTGCATCAACCATGTTGGATCTTTTAAGAGAGATGTGCCTGCCATAACATTCCCATCATTTTCCCAAGCCATTCTATGAGAAAATTTGCAAGGGCAATCTTACACACATGATCTATTCACTCAACTTTCCACAGTAACTAAACATGTTCAAATTAAAAAATTACATTACTCATCAAAAATAGAATAATAGAACAAATGGTAAGAAAACTCATTAGCCACACCATGATAACTCCCCAAGTTCTCAATTTTATTCTTGAAATATTGACATTATACTATGTATTGTAATAATGAATTGCCCAAGTTTCTAAAATTAATCTTATGAAAATGTTATACTTCAGAAACCTACTGACAAATAGCAAAATACTATCCCCAAAAAATTAAAAAGAAGACCGTACCAGTAGCTTTGTGTTTAGGCTTTTGGATCACATTACGGAAAGTAAAACGTGGATCAGTCTCTCCGGCCCATCTTTTGAACAAAAAAAAGGAAATGAGAACAAAAACAACTAAAAATATGCAGAAAGAGAGGAGTAATTTCAGAGAGAGAAACAGAGTAAAAGAAAAACATCACAATAGACAAAATGACATGAAAAGAAAGGGATGGATAAAGAAGAAAAAAGCTGTTGTTGTTGAAGAATGCAGAAAACTAGGGTTTTCAAGGGGAAAGGGTGTTTAGGGAGGGAAGGAGAGAGAAGGGAGACTTGCAGAGAGAACCAAGGTAATGAACAGAGAAAGAGAAAAATTTTGCAAGAAACAAAAGGATAGAAAACGAAGAAATTTAATGTTCTCAAAGAATGCAGGAAATTAGGGTTCGAACAAGAGAGTAAAAAATGTGGACTCACAGAGGAAACCACGGTAATCTAGAACGAAAGAGAAAAACACCACCAAAACCTTAATAGCATCAAAAAGAAGGATAGAGAAAGAGAAAGCTACAGTTTCATAGAGAGAAAACGAATAATCAGAGAGAGGAAAATGAAAGGGAAGAAACCAAGATAAAATAGCCATGAAAATCAAAAGGACATGAAAGGGGAACAATGCATAAAAATCAAAGAAGGAAACGAGTATTCCTTTCATAAAGAAGATAAGTTAGGGTTTTCGCTCCTACCCAACGCGACAGTTGAAAGCTCCATTGTCAATAACAATGGGGCAATCAGAAGGGAAGAGACTGTAATCAGTTTGTCGAGATGGCCTCATAGCCAAACTCATTTTCTCACTCCAAATGCGAACAACAAAAACTCTCTGAACCTCGTCTCGAGGACTTTATATAAGGTACGGTTTTGAAAAGCTGACCAAATAACCCTCCAATCTTTTCGTAAATGACACCACAGTAATTCTGAAACGACCTTAGACAACGATCAACTAAACCAGACATGGGCCAAAAGCGATTTAATTGGTCTAATCGGTAAATCGGCCGATCAACTAAACAAGACATGGGCCAAAAGCGATTTAATTGGTCTAATCGGTAAATCGGCCCGTTCAATCGGCCTAATCGGTAAATTGGCCCGTTTAACTGTCTGGATAAGTCCCGAGTGGTTAAAAAAAAAAAAGTTAAAAGATCAAAAATATAAAAATATTTTAATAAAATACGAAAAAACATGATTAAATAAAGCACTTTGAAATAAAGTTAAAAATTAATCAAAAAATTTAGCTTTTAAAGAATCGATTTGTGTTTAAAGGTATTTTTGAAATTTTTTAAAAATATGAAAAAATATAAAAATAAAAATTAATGACCAAAACAATTTTCAATCTTCATCAAAATGATGAAAAACATTAAAACACACATTACAAAAAAAAAATCACTTGTTTTTTGTGGTTTTATATATATTTTTTTTATTTTTTTTAAATATCCAGCAAGTTTACTAAAACTGACAGAAACCAAAACCGGCTAGTGGCTGGTTCTAGTCTAGTGTCTAACCAAGCAATTAGAATTCCAATCTAATAGGGTCTAACCAGGCAATTGGAATTTGAACCACTCAATTTTTCCTACACTGGCTTAGAGAGATGAAATGAAGGGAAAGAAAAAAGATGAGAGGCAAACAAAATAAGAGTCGGAATAAAATACTTTAGATAGGAAAAATCAGCTAAGTAGTTTACTTGCATGAAAGTAGTCAAATCATTGAAGTTCACCCTTAAAATTTTAAAGGAAAAAGTTTATATAGAGCCAAAGTTTTGAACAATCAAATTAGAGCCTAACTCAAAAAATTTGATGGAAGAAGTTGTTTTGATGCTCAAATATCCTCAAATTGATCATCTCAACATCAACATGCATGGATATAAGAAAAAAATAGATTTCAAGTTTTGGAAATAATATATTTTGGTAACAAATTTTTGGACAGTCAATTTTCAAGATTTTTCAAGTTTTCATAGATCTGTCGATCTACACTATTTTTTAGGCCTTTAACTTTACAAATAAAGATGAAAATATATTTTAAAGCTATCAGAAAGATTTATAATAATGAAACACATTTCTCAAACACCATTTGAAGGTAGGTTCTAATTTGATGGTTTAGAGCTTAAGCTCTATAAAACCTGCACCCAAAAATTTTAATGGCTCCTGATAAGTAGGAAACTTAACCAATAAGGGTATTTTAGAAATTTAGCTTATCTAAATAGCCAAATGATGATAATACTACTTATGATATCATCACTAGCATTGTTTAGGGTAAGCAACACGACCAAGAATTTACAATTGAAAAAATGAAGCTCATTTTAGTGACAATTATATCCCATAAATTGAATTATTAATTTCATCACAATAAAGTCCATTAGAGATAATAACTTTGGTGATATCCAAGTATATGGATTAATCACGATAATTTAGGATAAAAGTCTTCCCCAATAATAGCCTATATGTAATATGAAAGCAAAATTAGCAATTGGAATTTGAAAAGAGAAACTTCATTTACATCATTTGAGTGTAAAAATGTCAATAAAGCTAATAGGGAGCAATTTGACAATGGATTCATAGTAATAGTTGATAAATTAGATTATGAGTTTTGATATTTTAATTTTAATTTGCATTAAAATTTATTTTATTAATCTATGAGAATATAGAGATTGAGGAAGATATTGCACACACAATTATAACTGGTGGATGGACAGGAAATGTACTTCTGAAGTTTTCGTCATATACTAGTGAAATTGAAGGAAAAGTTGTACAGAATGATTATAAAACCAATCATGCTTGATGGGACGGAATATTAGGGGTCAAGAAATAACATATTCGTAAAATAAGTGTAACTAAGATGAAGAAGTTGATATAGATGTGTTGCAAGACAATAAAAGATAAAATTTAAAATAAATACATTAGAGGGAATTTAGAGGTAGCTTCGATACACGATAAGATGAGAAAAAATAAACTTTGATCATCTGGCCATATACAGTGGCAACCCAAAATAGAACCAATTAGAAGGGGGCAATTTAGTTCAAGTGGGCGGCTATAAAGGAGTAAAGGGAACGCCCAAAACAACATAGATTAAAATAATGAGGAAGATATGGTGACCTTTAATTTGATTGATGATAGTGTCATTGATAGAGCAAAATGGAGAAATTGGATTTGTGTAACCTATCTCAAATAGTTGAGATATGGCTTAGATGATGATGATGATAATTAGAAATTACTTTCAAGTTTACTATTTATGGATTTCTAACATATTTTTATTCTTGATTATAGATAATTTGCCTTCAAATTCGTCAATCTCAATAAAAAACATTTCGCGATAAATAGTACATTAAAGACGAACATGATAAAATCCCAAAAAAAACCCTTGTAGATAAAATTTCATGTTGCTAAAGAAACTAGAAGTATTATTGCTATTCATCGTAACAATTAAAAGTATTATCATCATTTAGATTGTCTAAATGCCTTGCTTGTTCAAGGTTTTAGTTTGAAAGGGTTCATTATTAACAATTTTATAAGAGGAGTTAAATAAAAATCAAAGCAACCATCTTAATGATAAATGAGATGATTCAGCCTCCTTAATACTTTTGCAATGTGACATGGCAATTTTAGTGATATTTCCCATTTGAATTTGCCTAGCTATCATAACATTTCTTTAGATCATTTAAACCACAATTTTCTAGATAATGTAGAAAAATAATCATGTAAGTAGACAATAAAGAAAAAAGACAAAAAGAGATGTGACTGTGAGAAAGATTTTATGTTGTGAACTGGGAAGAGAAATAATGGGAGACATGAGTTATGAATGTATTAGGAGAATACTTACATGTATACCTTATTTCTCCATCAATAAAACCTTTTGTTCATTTTATTCCATGACAAATATATGCACTTCTTCTCTCACACTCTTTCCTTTTTTCTCGTCTTTATTTATTTTTCTTCCCCTTATCTTTATCCTTTTTTATCAAAATCATGTCCTTCATGAAAGAATGACAAATGCGATCTTGCCGGAGAATTTTTTTTTTATTATTTTTCTTTTTTTCACCCATTTTCTTTTCTTTTTCTTTTTTTTTTTTAGCAAAGATCACTTACAAGTAGTCTGCTTACAATAATTATTGCTTCAAATAAAATAAAACTAACAAATCCAAGATCTTAAAAATCTTGACGTCATTAAACCAATTTTCTTTAAACAAAGAAAATATCCACAATTCTTATGCTTGGGAATATAAAGACAATATAATTAAATATGACAAGAAACAAAAAGAGAGTGCCGGAGATTATCTCATCCGAGATTATTACACCCCACACCGAGTCACCACCATTCGATGACGCGGGATCAATGATCAACCTTCAATCTCAACCGGGAAAGCAAGTTTAGGCTAAGCCACACCAATAGAACATGAACTCATTTGATCACAAACTCAAACCCTAGGTGAATTACCTTAGCAACCTATTTTAAGATAGATGGATTTTCTTTTTGCTAAACCCTAAAACTACCTCGCCCCAAGATTTTTAATATTCCCGAGGTGCGACAGACTATTCTTATACTAGGAAAATTCAAATTCCTATTAATATATATTGTAACAAAACAAATTTTTCTATTAATTAAAATTTGTACAAAGTTTGCTCACAATTGGTATTAACATGAAGGCAATGGTGAAGTTAAACAAAAGTTACAAAGGAGAATTTAGTTATGACATGATTTCATCTTCTTCACAAGCTGGTCCTGATGTGCATTTAACTATGAGACTGCAATTACCCTGAAAAATATTTACCATAGTTTGGTGAGTTTGGCTACTCAATAAGTAATTATCATGGTCCTAAAAATAATCAAGGTTGGAAGATATAAACATTTTCAAAAGAAGGTATATTAAAAACCACCTAAGGAAGAATTGCGAGCAAAAGCATTTATGAATAACAATCTCACTTTTCACAAAATCCACAGTTAAACATAACCCAAATGAAGGAAATGCATATAAACATTTTAATAGAGATGCATAATTCAAAAGATTTCACAACATACCCTACTGGCGTCCCAAATAGGCCTATATACCCCATCAGCGTCCTGATGGGTCCAAATAATCCTTGCAGCTTCAAACGTACCTCACCGGCTTACCAGATGAGTCTAAATAGCCCATACCGGATAGGTCTAAACAATCCTTGCAGGTCCAAACATACCTCATTGGCGTCCTAGATGAGTCCAAATAGTCCCTACCGGCGTAACCGGATAGGTCCTAACGATACCTGTAGGTCCGATCATACCTCACCGACGTCCCGGATGAGTCCAAATAGTCCCTACCGACATAACCGGATGAGTCCAAATAGTTCCTACCGACATAACCGGATAGGTCCTAACGATCGCTGTAGGTCCAATTATACTCAAATTATCTCTGAAACTCTTTAAACATCAGAAAGCAACAATATCATATATGCAAAGTATCATTGAAAACATTAGCATGAATTCACTTGAAGCAATTTAATAACAATCACTTCCATTGAAATATCTCTAAGTAGCCATTTAAACATTTTGTGCAATAATTTCTAAAAGGTAACAGTTCTAAAGGACATTCTTGAAATCTAACATGATAATCGTCTAGTATTAATAGATGAACTTTTACGAGAATCCAAAATTAAATACAGAATTATCACAATTTATGGAGTTACCAATTCATAAATAATCATTTCATAGGCAATGCATAAATATCAGTTTTTCAAATAATGTGGCTGTCATTTTCATATGAATTTTACAATATCTATATATTCAAAACAGTAGGAGGAAATCTCACAATTTTACTAAAAGCAGAAAAATTACATTTAT